CCCCCCCCTCCCCCCACCCACCCAGTGGCCAACAGCGGCCCCAACACAAACGGTTCTCAATTTTTCATAACACTCGCCCCCACCCCGTGGTTAGACGGGAAACATACGATATTCGGACGAGTAACGAGAGGAATGGGGGTTGTGAAGAGAATGGGACTTGTGAAGACTGATGAGGGGGATAAACCGGTGGAGGAGGTGAGGATATTGAGGGGGAGGGTTTTGGAGGGGGATGAGGTGGGGGATGCGGGTGCTGGTGGGGGTGGGGGTTTGTAGATGAATGGGGGGTTGGTTGTGAGGGGGAATGGATATATGATGGGGGTTTATTCATTCGAAGTTACTAGAAGTGCGAGATGAAGCGTGGCGTTTGGGAGTTTCATGCGATCGATGCAAGACTTTTTGCGAAAGGATATACGAGTACTCAGTATATGGGTAGATATCTGAGAAGATAAATGATTTATATTTTGGGTGGATTAAAAGTCTATAATAAAAACCAGTTCGCTTTTCCGGCGTTTCTCCCACCATACCGGTACTCTATCCATGCTCCCAGCCAGAAACACCTTAGACTCCTTCATATATACACAAAACCAGCCCAACCCAACTCAACCCTCATCTGCTTCCCATCCACATCCACATCCGCCCGCATCCAATCTACCATCTACCATTACATAGATAAACACACCTCAAGAAACATAACCCGGCAACTTCCACGCCACCAAATCCTCTCTCACATCAAATTCATCCACTTCCCTCGGATGATTATACGCATATCCATGACCACCCGGAACATGACCCAGACCCCTCCCTTGTCTCCCCCTCTCCCTTTCCCCCTCCTCATCACCCATATTCGAACTCGAACTCAGTGCTGAAGCTCCACTTACACTCCTTCCTCCGCTCGACGAAACACCACTGCGTGTCGTGTCGCTACTCTTTTTATATCTGTGACCCCTGCCCTCTGCTCTTCCATTCGCATTCGCATTCGCATTCGCATTCACATTTGCATTCACATTCACATTCACATTCACATTCGCACTCACACCCACAACCCCCACCCTCGCACTCGAAGCCGTAACATTCGACCTCTGACTCGCATCACTGGGCGTCCTCCTATGCCTTCGTAAATCCTCTCCACTCCCACCACTCGCACTGAGCTCATCCTGAACTATCCGCGGAGTATGTAAATCGTTAGAAGGAGCATTGTGCGGATCGAGCGGATCGCGTTTCCAGCCGTCGCCGCCTGCAAAGATATCTTCGACGCATTCATCGGCTGCCATTTCGGCGGGGGATGCGGACCAGGAGGCGGCGAGGGCGCGTCGGTACATGTCGTGAAGATCGGATTTGTCCGAGGGTTTGGGGAGTTGGGGTGTATCTTTGTTGGGGGGTTAGTTTTTTGTATGTTGATTCATGCTGATGTTGAGGAAAGATGGATGATTGATATGATAGGATAGGATAGGATAGGATATAATAGGATAGAAAGAACCAAAACAGAAACTCACTGCCAACATCATCCCCCTCTCCATTCTCCCCCTTCATAATCCCCGCAATCCCCCCAAAAACCGGCGCACTCTTCAACGGCGGCGCCACAAAATTTCTCTCCCCCTCAACCTGCCTCATTGCAATGCCGATCTTCAGGGTACTATTAATTTTACTCTCCTGCATCAGGTATCTCCTCACCACACCCTGTTCCCCCTCAACCTCACTCTCGTCTACATATTCCGCCAGATTCAACGTGATGTGTCCCAGTGTCACACGTTCCCCTTTGGAAGATTGTCCCGAGGTGTATTCTTGGATTACGTCGAAGTGGATGAGGCATTCGGAGAGGTGGTTGTTTTTGTCGATGGTGAGGCGCAAAGGGATGGTGCGCGTGTAGTCCCAGGATACTTTGTGCTCTTTTATGGGGGATTGGGTGGTTTGTCCTGAGTGTTCCGAGGCGGTGCTGGTAGGGAGTGTCCATTTTATGAAGGCGGTTCCGCTGGCTAGGGGGACGTTATTGAGGTCGATTATCTTGAGAAGGGGGTGTTAGTCGTGAGTTGTGAATTGTGAGTTGGGGGTTGGAAGTTGTGAGTGAGTTGAAAATTGATAGGATGAAGATGTGAATGGGAAGGGAATTGGAATTGAGAACGGGAATGCGCCAGAGTCTCAGGAGACTTACTTTGAGGACTAAATCGAATTTTGGCTATAGATATTGTTTGTTAGTCCATAGGTATATCCTCACATGCATCAATTAATTCTCCAGATATGCCAACTGCAATATAATCATGTACTCGTATACTAAGTATATTGTGTTCTTCGAAATCCCAATAACCATGAAGTTTGACATACCTTCCTCGCCTTGGATACTAAAAACGGAATATCGAACATGATCAGCAATTATCAATTATCAATTATCAATTATCAATGATCTCTCTCGTTCTCTCTCTCCCTCAATCAACATCTCTCTCCTTCTCACGAAATAACCATCAATTCCCATATATATCAATCAAACTTCTTCCAACTTACCCAAAACATTCATACTCATAGATTCTAATTCCTCTAAAATAGGTAATCGCACTAAATTCCAAGGCAATCTGTTCCTTTTTCTAGTAGGTGATGGTTGATAACTATTAATTAAAAGATTGTGTTTAGATAGAACCAGGCTAAAATGACGCTGTGATTGTGATTCTGATTCTGATTCTGATTCTTGAGATTGGATTTGAGCTTGAAGAGTAGAGGAAGCTGGAGCCATTTTGTGTCTTTGTTCATTTCGTTTGAATAATAATCAATTAATGGGTTTGTTTTATTATTACAGTATCATATCATGATTCGAGAGTTATTGAATTGTAATCGTACTTGGGTATGATTGAGTTAGCTACTGATATTCATGTATATATATAATTCATCTATCTCAATTGATTTCATTTGATTTAATTTGATTTGTATTGCAAAGTTGCATTCTTATCATGAATTCGTTTGTTTTCGGCGTTAACTTTTTAAAGGATATCGCCCTTCATGACTGGATTGGGAAGGAGTAATTGGGTTTGAGAACTGCAAACGCTGGTGTATGAATGGATTGGAATATATCTGAACTCTTTAGTATGTCGAAGCTTTGGGTGAATATTGAAAGTGATGAATAGATGGG